ATAAACAAGTAAGTAAATAAATAATTGAATAGAGAAATAAATAAGTACATAAATGAATAATACTTCGAATAAGGTCTCACCAGCACGGCTGTGTTCATGCCAAAATCCAACCGAATGCATTAGCTCATGAACGATTATTTCGTGGAAAAGGCATCCTCGACCCAGCGAGATCTCCTGCTTCCCTCCAGTACGTCCCACTTGCGAGTAACATCTGTCATGAAAACAAAAAAGCTAAACAGCCGCACACACTCGGTCATAAATGCGTTCTTTCAGGGCCTAAGGAGGCTACCTGTTGTCGGTGTGGGGTGCAACATGGTTGGGAGAGTTCCATCGGGTGGATAGTATGTGCTTGGTCGCTGGAGAAGAAGGTGGGGGAGGTCATCCCTCCTGTTGAGAAAAAACATTCCAACCAGCGAGAACATTTCTTCCTGGTCGTCGGATTTCTTTGGTTTTTTCCCGTTTTATATCTCCTAAATATTTGCCTCCTAACTCAGCGAAGGCAGTTTTTGCAGGGAAAACCGAAAAAGCTCCCAGGGAAACTGGAAGAGATTGTAGGAAGTTGGGAAGCGAGTTCAAGTTGAATTGAAAATGGAATGTAGTTTTAAAAATGTTGTTGTTTGTAAATTCAAGCAGAAAAACACACCCATAGCCTTTCACAATATTGAGAAAGTCCTGTTCATCGTTTCTGGGTTGAAATCGAATGCATGTGCTCTTGCGATAACTGGCAAACGCCTTTTCGATTATCTTCACTTCGTGCGGCACTGTAATGGAAGAATTTTAACTAAGGAGAAGAATGGCTGAGAATACGTTACTGAAATATTTCCAAACTACAGAATCAGGATACTAAACCCTTAACTCTACTTAGGGGCAGGTGGCACGATAAATCCCGCAGACGTAGGATCAATGCGCCTAACAGGACAGAATTGAAAAAAGGAGGCGCTGTGTGCGCCTTTTCAGAGGGAGGTGCCCTTATAGCGCCCCATCAAGCTGCAACTTACCGACCAAGAAGCCCACAGTGCCCGTCCGCTCACAAATGGACAACCGTTCCTGCACATGTCCTCATTTGCGAAGTGCAATATGAAACGAAGGGATTGATATGAAGCGGCTGCGGTGCTGCATGGATATATGAGTACATACATGCAGCCGTATCTACCGTAGCGGTTATTGGCAAGATGCCAACGGGAAACTCGTCCGAAATGCCTTTTGAGTCGTGTAACAAAAATTTATCTCGCAGGTTTTTGACCGTTTCACTTCGCTTTTTCCCAAAACACCTGCTACTTTAGACCGAGTACCAAATTACCGCAGTGTCCTTCTTACTGTATTACTATCTCCTTTGACTTCAACGCCTAAGTAAACAATAATAAATAAACAAGTAAACAATAATAAATAAATAAGTAAAGAAAGAAGCGACGAAGAGAAGGTAGAAGGTCAGTGTAACTCACTTACAGAACGTTGGATCCATTTCATAGGGGATAATTCCATCTTTCCAAATTAGTTGTTTGTTTTTCAGAGCATTGTAAAAAACGAGTCCGTCCTAAAATTTTATTCTGTT